CCTCACAGCAGGCATTATTACATCACTTCCGTTTCATAGATGATGAACCGGAAGCTCAGAGCAGTCAAGTAACTTGCCCAACACATAACTTGGAAAACAAACAGTACTTGGACTCAGTTCTCTGTCTCCAGGGTCAGTATCGACCAAGCAAGGGTTCACCTTCAAAGGCCCAGGGACGAGCTTCTAGCTGTCTATACCAGTGCCTGGCCTGGCTCCAACAGAGAAATGTCTGTGCTGGGAAGAGAGATACGAGAGTGAAGGCTGGTGTGTATAACTGTACATTAGGGTGACTGCTGGGCCCGTGGGTCCTCAAAAACCAAGCCCTAGAGAGGGAGGCTGAGTGGCGTAGACGCTTCTGAGCTGGCTTCAGATGGCAGTGGGGTTAGGGGTGCGGGTCTCCTTCTTACTGTCCTCCTGTCACTGATGCCAGTCATGCTGGAACCCCCTTCTAGCTCCCAGTGTCTCTCTTCCCTGCCCTGGGCCACCGTGGGTGCCCTCTCTCCAACCTCTCAGGACCCAGCCTGCCTCTGAGCTCCCGAAGACCCTTCCCTGGCATTTGAGGTTTCCCAGGTGATGGGCGCTTTGAATCTGGGCCCTGGGGCCAAATGTGGGAGCTGTTGGGTCAGGTGGCCAGCAGTGGGCTGTGCTTTCATAAATAAAGTGCTATCAAGACATAGCCAGGTCTCTGGTGGTGGTTGTGCTACAAAAGGGCAGAGTTGGGTGGTTGAAACAGAGACCATGTGACCTGGAAGCCTAAAATGTTGACTCTTACCCTTCAAGAAACATCCCACCACCTCTGCTGTTTAGGAGTCAGGTGGTGTTCCCTCTGGAGAGCCAGATCCCCTGAGAGCCACCGTTCTGCCTTCTGCTCTGTGGGATGGGGCTCGTGCGGCAGGAAGGGTCTAGACGAAGAGGCAAGAGAGCACAGGCTTCATCCGTGCTCCTTATACACAGAGAGCTCAGAGATCTGTGTTGAAATGAGCCCTGGACTTTCTGCTTCTCCCAGTCTTCGACTTTCTGAGTTGTTCAAACTAACCCATGAATTTTCTCTCTTTCATACTCTTCACTTCCAGGTATAGTTGGTCCTCCAGATTACGTCAGATGCTTCCTGGGATTCTGCATCCCCCAGTGACATCCCTTGCCCTACCCTCCTGTGGTCAGCTCATAACAGATGTCCACTCCGTGGCCCTCCGGCCGCCTCCAGTTGCTCGCTCTTCTGCTTGGTCCTGTGGCCCAAACCATTGGAATGAGCCATTGCATTTTGTGACCTATGTTTGCACCATGGCCGCAGTGTGAAAACCATGTTTCAGATTCGGTACTTGCTCTGGGGCCTCACAAGCGAACAAGAGTAGAGACCCAAACACAGGCCTGAGGCGTGGTGCCTGCTGCTGCTGGTCCAGAGCTGTCTGAGGGGAGATCCCTGAGCTGTGGGGAGAAGTGTTATCTTTAGAAGTTACATTTAAGACTTAATTGAGCTGTTATGCCTTTCATTCTCGCTCTCTTCCTCTTAAACCTTTCTCTATAAATCTTGGCTTTTTTTCCTCTTAGGCTCAAGTTTTCCAGTGAGTTGTCAATTATTCCCCAGGTGCTTTTTAATTAAAACAACAGCAACAAAACTTGACCTTGTCCATATGTTTTTACTCGTCTTCTCCCTTCTTTTCTTATTAGTTTTCTCAAACTGTGTGTGTGTGTGTACAGGCATATATTCATATGTGCACACTAGTTCATGATTATCTACATACAAAAGATGATGAAAGTGTGTCTTATGAAAGATGAAAGATCCTTGTCTTATTACTTTGATTCCCTTCGCCTTTAATGGTGCATGATCCTGACATTTATGAAAAATAACTATTTTCTGGATAAGGTGCAGATATTTCTAAAAGTGCTCCCTCTCAAACTTATTACTAGCTCCAATGACCTGGCATCCTTTGTCTTCTGTTAGAGGCATTTAGTGGAATTTTTCCTGGACCAAGAAACTTCAGCATTCTCCCCTGCATATTTCCATTTTAAAAGTTTCAAGCCGACCTTTTCACTATTCGGAACTGTTACACGAAACCACAGCGAAGACTTGCAAACAAAACACAGTGCCAACCCTTGCTGGCTCCCCCACGCCCTGCCCTGCCGAGTGCTCCCCAGGGCAAGGACATGGGAGGAATGGAGAGATTACCAGTGTCCCCGGGGTGGGTCCAGCCGGTGCCCTTTTTTCAATTAATTAATTAATCTTTACATTTTCAAGGACAGGTTCAGTAGGAAAAGGAGAAAAAAAGTAACACCTGCGGAATCACTGGAGGGTGGGAGCTGCCTGGAGATGCCTTTCTTTTTAAATGTTTTTACTTTGGAGCCCTAAAATAGTTGTCTCGTTTGTGGACACCTGTTAGCCATCCCGAGCCACTCTCCCGTTGCAGAACTGACCACTGTCCAGACCCCTGTCATGTCTGCAGTGAGCGGGTCTGGCCAAGATGGGGATCCAGCCTAACTTGTGAGGAGGGTGGCTAGCTGTGCCAAGACCTGGTGGAAGCAAGCTCCTTGCAGCTCGGTGGTCCAGAGCCTCTGAGGAGCTGCTGTAGAGGGCGCTGGGAGGTGGGGTGCGTGGGGGCGGGTGGAAATACAGGTCTGGGAATGTAGGAGAGCACTTGCTGCCTATGAGTTGGCTCCTCCTGGGCCGGGGCTGTAACTTGACTCCGATCTCCAGGGTGGTTGCTGGGCATCCTTCCCATCCCCCACCATGGGTATTTGGTTTGTGTTTTGCTTGATGGAGAGCTTTGGAGAAATCAGACTAGATTTAAGGAAAGGCATTGTACAGCTGGCCCACTTTGTTCCTTTATTCCCTCGGAAAAGTGACACCCTCCCCGCCTGCTGGTCCTGCCTGCTCCAGTGTTGGCCATTGGGCTGCCTCTGGGCTTTGTACCAAGGGGGCCATCCCTTCACTGATGAGGAAGCTGGCTTGCTTTGGGACCATGATTTGCCCAGCGCAACGCTATACACATCCGTTTGATTCCAGAATATTCTTTTTCTTACTATTACTCTTCCACCTACCTCTTGCATGGGGATCAGTTACCTTGAGGAATGCTCCCACCCCACCTATATGCCCCCCTCACTCCGGCCCCCCAACCCCTCACAACCCTGCAGTTTGTTTGTTTGTTTGTTTGTTTTCCACTGAGCCTTAAAGAGTAAAGTGTTGTCATGAACAAGATACCCAGGTCAGGATTAAGAGAAACCACGTTCTTGGCTCAATTTTGTTTTTTCCCTAAGAGTGTCAGTTGTCCCTCATTTCTTTGTCATATTTTTATTCCCTGTAAGATTAACCGGCCCCACCCTGCAAGCCACCTTGTTGTAAACAGAAGCCCCTGGGTTCCCAGGACTGAGGCGGGAGGCTGCTGCTTGCCTGGAGCGCCTGCAAGGCATGAGGGGCCCAGCTGGGCTTGCTGACCCTGTCCTGAACCTCCCACCTCACCCCACCACCTTCGATGTTGGCTTTTTCCTAAAAAGCGTGCCTCCTGTGCACTTTCCAAAGCACAGGACGGAGGGGCCAGGGCAGGCCATTGGGTGTCCCGCCTGTCTCATTGGTGCCCTGAACTATTCCGGGCTTAAAAATGTGGGGCAAAAGGGAAGGGCACGCAAGCTCGTTGAATTTTCCAAAGCTGAAATCTTTGCTGGCTTTGAACATCTGGGTGATTAAACTGAGAACTTTGGGTGTTTAGCGGCAGTAGGTCCGCCTGACTGGGGTGTCTCCATGTTGGGGGACTGAGTGCTTAGTCTGGGTGTGTGAGTGGGGGCATCTGAGGCTCCAGCCCTGAGCTGGCTGTGAGCCTTCTTTGCACCCAAAGCTACACTGTCGGCTGATAGTAAGGAATTTTAATGGGCCTGTGAACAGGTTGTGACTATTTGGTGAACTCATGACTGAAATACAGATTTTTAAAGACTTCTTTGAAGATTTTTAGAAACCACTGATTTTAGTTCTCTTTCTAAGGGCTTTTCTTGAACTTTCCCCTGTTACAATAGTGAAACAATGTGCTTGTTTGCTTTCTAAATCTTCCGTTGTACAATAGTTCTGAAAATCAGTCTGTTGGCTGGAAGCAGGGGGTGGGTGTGCGGGTTTATGTAATTTGACTTCTTTTCTCTCCAAATCAGTAAATATTTACATCTGACCTTACCCAGCAGCTTGGGTACATGCGGTCACTTGAAAGCGTGTGCTGGGAGCAGAGCCTGTTGCCAGTCCCACTGGGCCCCCGAGCAAGGGCTTAGTATTACTATTATTATTTGTATAAAATGCTCTCCAAAAACTCACACCAAAATGGTTCTTAGAGCCAATTTCCCACTTTCCACGGAATCAGGTTTAAGAAATTTGCATGATAAAGTTTGGCCTCTAAAGATTCTGCTCATTTTGGTTTGGAGCAGAGTTCAAGGAAACTCAGGAATCCAGAAAACAAATATTGGATTTTGGATCAGGTTTACCACTGCTGCCTGAGTTCTTCTGTTTCTCGGGGAAGGTAATTACAGAATTCCATTTGAAGCTTAAATGTCATTCTTTTGTGAGTAAGTAGGAAAAGCAAGTGGATTACTTTTCTGTTTTTGTAAGGTGGCACCAGTGTCATATGGCTTAAGAACTTACTCTCTGATTTTTAGAGCAGTTTTGAGGTTGGCTCAGTCCGCTTTCAATGCCTGAAATCTGACACATCAAAAAAGCATTTTTAGAAGTGAATACACATGTTCGTCAGAGTTGACACTGGAAAATAATAAAAGAATCTGAGGCTTGAGGCGCTAAGATATGAAAATGACAGTATTATTGTACTAGTATCACCTGGTAATAACATTTATTTCATCTGTCAAACTTATTATTAAGAGTAAGGCTGAAGCTTATACTGTGGACTTCCTGTCATCAGAGTACAAGAATATAGTAGTTAAGGCTGGCAGTCACTGTGACAATAATTGTACGTTACTTGGTGCCAATGCTCAATGTTTCGGTATTAATCACTTTCGTATTTTGATTTTCTTTGCAGAGTATTGGGAAAGGGTCGTTGTGGTGCATTGACCCCGAGTATAGACAAAATCTTATTCAGGCTTTGAAAAAGACACCTTACCACCCTTACTCACACGTGTTCAACACACCACCCGCCTCTCCTCAGGCATATCAAAGGTAAGTGCTCCAGACTTTTTTTGTCTGCTGAAGTTGCATTATTTTGGCAGAGACAGGGCTGAAACTGACTTAATTGGCTGCGGTTTCTAAAAATAACTGCAGGTAAATGAGAAAGACATGAAGAATCACTGCAGGCCTATTGTGGGGAGTCTGTGTACCTTACCTCTTTGGCTGCGCTTCTGAGGAATGCGTTTCCCGAAGGCTTCGTGGTGGCTGAAATAATGTCCACCCGGGTAGGAACATGTACAGAGCAAAGTTGACAGCTTGCCCATCTCAGCCCATCACGGTGTGGTGTGTTGCGGGGAGAGGGCAGGACTGCACCCCGCCAGCAGTGCCTTCGCGCCCCCTCTGACCGTGCCCACGGGTTCTCACTGAAGAGCCAGCCGGTTGTTGTCGGTCTCCGTCTCCATGTAGACGGTGCTCCCGAGAGATCATTTTGTTGTGGTTACGTGGTGTTTGCCACTTCCAGCAGAGGACAGGGGAGACTTCGTTCCCCATCACGTGCCTTTTTTTTTTTTAAAGATTAATTTATGTATGCTTTCAGAACTGGGGCACAGGGGTGGGGGGTGGGTGGGGGGTGGTGAGAGGGCTCACCAGAGACAGAGCGGGGAGCAGAATAGGCCGCTGTACTGAAATACACTGCTGAGGGGAACAGCAGGGAGACGGGAGAGGTCTGCTGCGCCCTGTGGGTCAGCTCCCTGGCCGGGGATGGAACTCGTGCAGCAGTGGCTGCAGTAGCTTCACAGTGCTGCGCTTTCACCTGTCATGCCACCAGGGGGGCCCCGTGCCTGTTTGTTTTGAACATTTTTACACAGATGTAAGTGAACAGGACCATAGGTAGCTAATCTCATTTGTAAAGAAGTGTTTTATGTTAGATTCCAGAAAATCATCAATATAACATACAATCAAATTGTAAAATTGCTGTTTATGTCATAGTGTGCAGGTTTGAGGTGTTTGCGCCAATCCTACACACACACACACACACACACACACACACACACACATTTTTGATGTGTGCACGTTTCAGTTGTAACTGTCCAGGCCAGAGGGCTCACCCTCCGACTGCAAGCGTTCATTGATGGCAGTGGTTTATCGTCACTGCTTTGCAGATTCTTGCCCTGGTCTGATGTTTGTTCTGCAGAAGAGGCACAAAGTGATGTGCCTTAAACAGCATTAATGAAGTTCTTGTGCATCTCAGCCGCGAAGCATTCCATCGTAGCCCCTGGACAATCAGTCTTCAGCAAGAGACAGGGAGGAACAGCTGGGCTCTCTGAGAAGACTGCTGTATGTCTGCCTTTGCTAGGCGATTAGCGTGATGGTAGCCATAGCAACTGGAGCGTCTCCATAGTAACGCGTAGCCCAGACAGGTGCAGTTGCAGCACAAGGCTGTTTGTTGCCTGGCAAAAGGACAGGCCATTAGTACTTAGATATACGCTGTTGCCTTAGAAACAAATAGCCCTACATAGCAACTACAGTTGGTTTGAAAGATTTGGGGGGTGGGGGAAAGGTTGTAGCAGCTTTTGTCTGTGTTCATAAAAATCAGTGGAAGCATACTTTATTGGAAATGACAACTTGAGGTCATGTAGCTGTAGGAGATAAAATGGATTTTCCAGAGCAGCCCAGCCCACATTGTAGAAATGTCCAGAAGGACAGAGCCATATGCTTGGTTTTCTCCTTGTGGCTGTAACTACTGAAATGGAGGAGAAGTGGGATTGGAGTGGAGAATTCCCGGTAACGTGAAGTTGGGGGGTGGTGGAGGTGAAATGACACCAATTGTTCCACTAGCTCCAGTTCTCCGGTGCCTTTGTCACCTTCCTCCTCCATCCTCAATCCCCACCGCACACCCTTCGTGTTTTCCTCCCCAGTTTATGTCTCGGAAGTATTTCCTATCCTTTGATTTCTGGAAGTTAAGAATGTACATGTGTTATTCACTGGGTCACATCATTGGTTCAGTTAGACTAGTAGTTTGTTGCCAAATGTGACCCCAAGGGAAACATAGTAATTATTTAATAATTTGAAGGATTATAGCAGAGCCCTGGGGATTGCAAGAGGCGCATAAGGAGGCAGAGGCTCTCTGCGCTGGCCTTAGCTTAATGACTTCATTTGATTTTTTAATATAGGCATAAAAATGCAGCCGAACCGAGCTTTTTATAAGGACGATAATTTCCAAAGGAATATGTTAGAATACTCTAGCTCCTTCTCTCCCAGATGACTTAAAAGGAGGGGAAAAATACATTTCCAAATCTACCTGTGCAGGGCTTGGGTGACCTCCGTAAAGGTCACTGGGTGTGGAAAGAGGCAGACTCTAACCTGCCTCCTCACCGTCTTAACTGTAAGAGCAAGTCCCTTTCCCTTTCTGGGGGACTGTCGCCCTTCGTGGAAAGCTTGCCCTTGGCCCTGGTGGCCTCGGCGTATGGAATGGGACAGAGCTCTGCAGCTGGACAGTGTGCACGCCTTATAGCAAGGTGGGCATCGGTTCCCTTCTCAGCCGTCAGCACTTGTTGACATGACTCAGAGAAGACCGGACAGCGGGCAAAGTGAGTCTGGGATCCCCCTTCAAGAGCTGGACGGGATCTGGCTGGGTTGCCGAGATACAGGGAGTCAGCCGCCAGCTCCTTCCACAGCTCCTGGGAAGGGCTTGGCTTTCAGGGAGGTGGTACTTAGCATCCTGAGGTGGCGACGCGACGTGATGGTGGTTAGCGCTGGCACTTGCAGGTGTGCATGGCAGGTAGCACTCGGATCCAGTGGCAGGTGACTGAGCAGGGCCGGAGAACCCAGCGTCTGAGAATACTGCCTGAGACAGCACTCCCACCGGACATAACGCCAGGGCTGCAATTGGTGTGCCCTGTGGTGCTTGCTAGGATGCACCTCTCTGCCTGCCTCTTGTGTCCCCACATTTGGGGAGTTTTTCATTGAAATGTAGTTTGGTGGCTTCCGCCCTTGATGAATTTACTAGGGCGGCTGTCACAAAGCAGCAGCGAGGTGACTTATGGAACTTATTTACAGTTCTGGAGCTTAGAAGTTCGAGACCAAGGCCTCCACAGGTTTGCTGCCGTGTGAGAACTGTGAGGGAGATGCTGCCCAGTCCCCCGCCCCGGGGGCTCGCTGGCCATCTCTGGTATTCTGTGGCATATAGAAGCGTCATGCCAGGGTCAGCCTCCATCTCTACGTGGTTGTGGCCCTCCGGGTCCAGACTTCCCGCTTTTATTAGGACATCAGTCAGATTGGGTTCGGGGCCACCTGACTCCAGTATGGCCTCAACTCAGTTACATCTTCAGTTGGCCATTCACCAGTAATATCGGCGCATACCCTGTAGATATGGGTGGGGGGCAGCTCCCAACCCAAGTTAGCCCTTTTCCTGAGGAAGACATTTTTTGCTGGATTAAAAATATGGGAAAACAGAAATACAGGCATCAACCTTGAAATTGCAACCCCAGAATTGACCAAAGCCGTGATAAGGTGAACACCAAAATACCCTCGCATTGACTTTTGACTCTAAAGAGAAAATAAATCTCCAAGTCGACACTGGTAGAAATAAATGATTGAATAACAAAACAGAAGCGGCAAACATCCAGTGGAGAAGAATTCCAAGTCTTTTCTGTAGATCACGCCTCCAGCCGGGCATTGCTAGCATTTCCCTTGGCGTGCCTGAGTGAGACGCATAAGGACTTACTTCCAAAGAGGAGAAGTTGGAAAGCGCTTCCCCAAGCAGGTGATCAGGTCACATCATCGTGGTGTGAAGTTGACAGCATGTACCTTGGATCGGATGTCATGAAATGGACACTGCACCCCTGTGGTCTTCCTCCCCCATGGTCCATGACTGGCCCAGTCATGGGGAAAACATCAGGCAGCGGCTTGGTCCCAAGGAGGACATTCTCCAAAGCCCTGATCAGCACTCCTGAAAGTCGCCAAGGTCAAGGGAATACAGGAGAGGCTGAGGGCCTGTCCCAGCAGAGGAAACAGGGGAGACGTGCCGGCCGCTCGGGCGATGTGATACACTGGGGCGTCCCGGGACAGAGGAAGGACGTGAGGGGTGAGCTAGTGAAATGTGAAGCAGGGTGCAGGACAGCTGATAGCAGCGTATCTGTGTTGATGTCTTGGTTGTGACGAAACTCCGTAGTAAGGTCAGATGTTGACATTGGGGAAGCCGAGGGAAGGGGAGCGGGGAAGTCTGGTACTGACTTTGTAACTTTTCTGTAAAAGGAAAAGCAGCTCCCAACACACAAGATCCGTTGAGCTGATTGATGATAAATAAATAGCCCAGTCACTTTCGGGGCAAGAGAAGTGGGGTGGCCGCGTTGCTTCTTAACCAGACATTGGAGGAGCCGGTTGCCGGGAGGACTCGCCTCTTCCTCGTTCTCTGTAGGATCTGTGCAGTCATGTGAGGGGCCACTCTCTGATTCCGATATCACAGATCTTGGAACTTCCTTCAGTGAAATGTCTCTCAGCTGGACTGACCAAGCCGAGTGGGATTCCTTTAGGAGGTTAAACCTTTGCCTTGCCACCTGCAGACTGGAAAGAGTCGGGAGGGCAGGTCATGTGTTTAGGTTTCTTGCCCAAACTCCGTAGGAAAGGTCCTGTCACCTCTCTTTTTTTTTTTTAAGATTTATTTATTTATACAGAACTGGGGTACAGGCCAGAGATGCGGAGGGTGAGAGGATTCACTAGGGACAGAGTAGGGAGCAGAACAGGCAGATCGACGAAGTCCACTGCTGAGGGGAGCAGCGGGCGGGTCAGGAGAGGTTTGCCACGCCATGTGGATCTCCTCCAGGGCAGGCGGGGATCGAACTCATGTGGAAGTGGCTTAAGCTTCTTAGTGCTGTGCTTTAACCCGCTGTACCACCAGGGAGGGCCCCCTGTCACCTGTCTTAATGGTGGTGTGGCTAAGTCCCGCCTCCCTTCCCTTCTGCATGGATGTCCTCATTAAGTTCTGTAATGCTTTTAATATGGATATTGCCAGGATGCCTTCCGATTTTATACTATGTTCCAGTCTACACTCC